GGAAAGAAGTGAAATGATCTCTTTTTGCAGATAACATGATTATATACATAGAAAACCCAGAAGAATCTACACAAATACTTCTGGAAGTGATAAATTAATATAGTAAAATATCAGGATACAAAGTCAACATATGAAAATCTATAGCATTTCTATACACCAACAATGAGTAGACTGAGGTAGAATTGAAGAAAGCAATCCCTTTTACAATAGCCACGAAAAGCATACAATACCTAGGAGTAAACCTAACCAAAGAAGTCAAAGACCTCTAAAAGGAAAACTATAAAAAACTAAAAAAAGAAAAAGAAAATGAATCAAAAAGCTAGAAGAATACCCCATGTTCCTGGATTAGAAGAATTAATATTATCCACATATTGAAATGGTCTCATGGTAAGCCAAACAATATGATTGAAAGTATATACAAAAAACGAATAATAAGTAATGTGGAAAAAAAAGATGTTAATGGACAGAAAAAAAAAGGAAAAAAAAGAATTAATATTATCAAAATGTCAATTCTACCCACATTTACCTACAAATTTAATGCAATCTCAATCAAATTACCAGAGACATTCTTTACAGATTTAGGAAAAACAATCATAGAATTTTCCTAGAATCATAAAAGAGCCCTTATCGCCAAAGCGATACTACACAAAAAGAGTGGAGCAGGAGGCATCTCACTCCCAGACCCCAAAATATATTATGAAGCTATGAAAATCAAAACAGCATTTACTGGCGCAAAAACAGGCATGTAGACCAATGGAACAGAATAGAGACCTCAGAAATAAATTCAAAAACATATAGCCAACTGGTTTTTGACAAAGGGCACATGACAATTCAGTGGAGAAAGGAAAAATCTCTTCAGCACATGATGATTTATTTGGATATCCACCTGAAGAAAAAAAAAATTGGACACCCATCTCTCACCATTAACAAAAATTGACTCAAAATGGATATAAACCTAAGACCTCCAAACTATTGGTGGGAAACTCTTGGAGACATCAGAGTAGACAAAGACTTCTCAACTAAGACCCCCAAAACACAGGCAATAATCCTAAAAATAGACAAATCAAGTTAAAAAGCTTCTTGACAGTACAGGAAACAATAATTAGAGTGAAAATACAACCCTTGGAATGGGAGAATATATTAACAATCTCTCCCTTAGATAAGGGACTGATAACCAAAATATACAAAGAGCTCAAGCAGCTTACTCACAAATAAAAATCAGTCCAATTAAAAGATGGGCAAATGGGCTGAGCAGATCACTGTCAGAGGAAGCCATACAAACAGCCAAAAAGCATCTGAGAACATGTTCAACATCCCTTATCATAAAGGAAATACGTATCAAAACCACAATGAAATACCACCTAGCCCCGGTCAGAATGACCAAGATTTTAAAAAATGAAGAACAGTAAGCACTGGTGAGGCTGCAGTGAAAATGGAACTCTCCTACACTATTGGAGGGAATGTAAATTAGTACAGTAACTGTGGAGAACAATATGGCAGTTCCTCAAAGACCTACAAATAGAACTACCACAGGATCCAACCATTCCACTCCTGGGTATCTACCCAAAGGACAGGAATACACTCAGTTGGAAAAACATTTGCACATCCATGTTCACTGAAGCATTACTCCAATTGCTAAGGCATGGTAATCAACCCAGATGTCTAAAAACAGATGAATGAAAAAAAAAATAAAAATAAAAATAAAAAAATAAAAATAAAAACAGATGAATGCATTGAACAAGTGTGCCACATATATATATGGACTACTACTCAACCATAAAAAACGAGACCCTGGACAAATATGGAAGATTTATTTATAAGTAAAGCAAGCCAGACTACAAAAGAGACATTGTATGTCCCCACTTAACAGATACCAAATGTCCGCACTCTAGGAGAAATGGAAAGATTGGAAGGCGTAAAAGCATGGACAGTAGCCACTGATTCCAGAGACAGTTTCGGAGCAGGGCAGGAAATGGGGGAGGGGAGGGGATCAAGGGGAAAACTAATTGATTAATTAAACTAATTAATCGATTAATTAACAGACTGGAGACCTACAGAGACAGAATTACACAAAATTTCCCCTACTAAAACTAATCTGCTATGCAAATGTGGTGTATATTCTGACAGAACTAATCACTTAATTCCTCCATACTAGCACCTGTTTTGACTCATGCTTGTAATCATGTATTTATAATGCTGATTTAGTAACAGTCCCTTTGAACATTATCAAAGTAAAATAATATACATCGAATTTTTTTTTTTTTAGAGAGATTTCTGCTACAGGGTATTTGTGCTCGCTGGAAAGACAGAGAGAGATGGAGAGACAGAATGCGAGAAGTCACCCCCCCACCCACCCCCCGGGGAGTATGGTCATGCCACAATTCCTTCTCCTCCATTATCCTCTTGGGACTAGGGGCATGCACACGCACACATGCCCAGCAGGAGTTTTAAGTCCTGTCAGGTCCAGGACTCAAACCATGGTCGACTACATGGGAGTCCAGCAACATGATCATTACACTACCTGCTGGGTCCTTGCATTGAAGGTTTTAAAAGTTATTGACTGTAAAGTAAACCCACAGCTAATGCTTTTCTCTACTTTGTTATGAAGCAAGGAGAACTTGGCACGACGAGTAATAAGTGGGCCCTGCCACAGAATCATGCACCGGTAGATGCTGCTACTTAGCAGGTTAGGACCACTTGCGAGGCCTGGGTTCAATTCCTGGCCCATCACTGGAAAATAAATAAATAAAAGTAGCAATAAATGAATTCAGATATTCCACCCTCTTCCTATTAGCTCACATTTATTTGCTCCCTCACAGCTCTTACCAGTCCTACTGTCAACACATACATTTCGCCACCAGTCAAAATATTTGGTAACCAGATGTTCCCATTTGGAAGTCTCTCCTGCCTCATAGGAATCTTGGAAATGCAACAAAGCACAGGAGAGAAATGTCTCTCTTCTGAAGAGTGAGTAGCTAATCTGGCATCCTGAAGCTCTGTTTCATTCCAGCAACCCAGAAAAATACAAACCACATGCCCAGCACGCAACTCCTGAGAGCTCAGGGGATAAGCCTATGAATGAAAGGCAGAGAACCTTGCTTTGAACACCAGCTCTACCACTCCAAGGGTAAAATTCTCTGTAAACCTCAGTTTCTTTTACTACTAAAAGGAAATAATCACAGCCCAAGTTTATGGATCAAATAAAATGCAACATATGGCAACATTTTAAAAACCCAAGCACAGTAGAAACATGAGTTGCTATTATTGTTGCCTTATGATATGGCCACACTGCACTTTTCCTGATATCGCAGTATTCTCCTACCGGAAAACACCATCTCAGAGCCAGGTATTAGTGTAGTGATAATGCAACAGACCCCAACAGGATGATTCAGAGTTCGTGTCTCATGACCTCCCTGAGTACAGCAGGCACTGGGCCCATGATCTGGCTTAACTGAGACTGGGATTGAAATGTGGGATTGAAACGTGGGATGGTGT